TTCTTCTATGCATTTGCCATCTCACCTGCCTGTCCAAAGCAGGTGGACAGAATTGTTTGGTGCTTCAAAAAAGTGCCCAGTTAGTGAAGGTAGTGTGCATTGATCAGAGGAGTGCAACGCGTGTGGGAAGAACAGGAAGCCCTGGGCTGGGGTCAAGAGGAAGGTACTGATGGGCTTAACTGATAGCATGGCATTTCAACAAAGACCTTGAAGGAGAGGAAGGATTCTAATAAAAGAAGGCGGACAGGGGTGATTGAAGGAAACAGAGGCAAACAGCTGGTGTAGAGATAGATGGACATTGTTTCAGCTAGAGTTGAGGGGCCAATGAGAAAGCTGGAAAGGAAAGTTGGTTAGTATTAGAAAGTTGAATCCCAGGTAAGAGGTTTGGACATTGCCAAGTGTTCAACAAAGTTTTGAGTATTAGAACCCTGTGAAAATAAATATGAGGAAGGTTAATTTCCTTGTGGCTCAGCCATAAAGAATCCTGCCAATGCAGGAGACCTGAGTTCGATCCCTTGGTTGGGCAAATCCCCTGGAGAAGGAAATGGCACCCACTTCTTTGCTGGGAAATCCCATGAACAGAGGAGCCTGGCAGGGTACAGTCCATGGATTTGCAGAGTCAGACATGACTTAGTGACTAAATGACAACAATCTTAACTGTGTAATGAGATGGGTGGGAAGGCAAGTTTGGGGACTAGAACTGCTAGGAGAATGTAGTCTGAACACATACTGCCACCTAGACCACATTTAGGGAAAAAAAAATTGAACAGTTTTAAATGACTGCAAAACTGTGACGATAGTTAACCTTATTATTAACATCATGCAGTAGTATGGTATGTTTGTTAAAAATGAAATAACCAATAGGGATGTGCTCAGTCATTACAGTTATATAAGACCACCAGGGATTTCCCAGGCAAGAATACTGGAGTGGGTTGCCATTTCTCTAGGGTGAACCAATAGGGATAGTCCATGCTTCATGCAGATTTCCTTTTGTTAACTTGTGTCTTTTTTGTTCCAAGAACTCAGGTAGGAGATAACCATTGTTACATTTAGTTGTCTTTTCTCTTTGGGCCATTCTTGGCTGTGACAGTTTCTCAGACTTTCCTTGTTTATTGACCTCACAGTTTTCAGGAGTACTGGTCAGGTATTTTGTAGAATTTCTCTGAATTGCAATTCCTCTGATGTTTTTCTCATGATTAGACTGGGGCCCTGGGTTTTTAAGAGAGCACAGAAAGAGTCATTCTCATCCCATCATATTAAGGGTCCTAATTATCAACATGACTGGATGTCATAGTTTAAAATTAGTTAAGGGGCTTCCCTATGGCTCAGTGGTGAAGAATTTCCCTGTCAATACAAGAAACATGGGTTTGACCCCTGATCTGGGAAGGTTCCACTTGCCAAGGAGCAACTAAGCCCGTGTGCCACAACTATTCAGCCTGTACCCTAGAGCCCAGGAGCCCTAGAGCTTGTGCTCAGAGCAAGAGAGGCCACTGCAATGAGAGCTAGAGAGTAGCTCCCGCTTATTATAGCAACCAGATGACAGGTCAAAGAACAACAAAGACCCAGCGCAGTCAAAATATAAAATTATTTTAAAAAGTATTAATTTGGATTTTTACATGAAATCTGATTTCTTGAGGTACATCTGATACTAGAGGGCCTTCATTCTGAGATGACAACAATTAGCTGGATTGAACAGTCCCCTTAAGGTGGGCTTGTGCTTTCCAAGCCGGTCCCATCTCCCAGTTTCCATCATTGTTGGCCTTACCTGACTGGTTTCTGCAGGGGTCACCCTGGCCTTTGTCATCAGCTAAATCAAGGCTGGATTTGTCAAGGTTTTACAGAGGTTCGTGACATTGTACAGGAGACAGGGATCAAGACCATCCCCATGGAAAAGAAACGCAAAAAGGCAAAATGGTTGTCTGAGGCCTTACAAATAGCTGAGAAAATAAGAGAAGTGAAAAGCAAAGGAGAAAAGGAAAGATATTCCCATTTGAGTGCAGAGTTCCAAAGAATAGCCAGGAGAGATAAGAAAGCCTTCCTCAGTGATCAATGCAAAGAAATAGAAGAAAACAACAGAATGGGAAAGACTAGAGATCTCTTCAAGAAAATTAGAGATACCAAGGGAACATTTCATGCAAAGATGGGCTCAATAAAGGACAGAAATATTATGGACCTAACAGAAGCAGAAGATATTAAGAAGAGGTGGCAAGAATACACAGAAGAACTGTACAAAAAAGATCTTCATGACCCAGATAATCACCATGGTGTGATCACTCACCTAGAGCCAGACATCCTGGAATGTGAAGTCAAGTGGGCCTTAGAAAGCTTCAGTACGAACAAAGCTAGTGGAGGTGATGGAATTCCAGTTGAGCTATTTCAAATCCTGAAAGATGATGCTGTGAAAGCGCTGCACTCAATATGCCAGCAAATTTGGAAAACTCAGCAGTGGCCACAGGACTGGAAAAGGTCAGTTTTCATTCCAATCCCAAAGAAAGGCAATCCCAAAGAATGCTCAAACTACCGCACAATTGCACTCATCTCACACGCTAGTAAGGTAATGCTCAAAATTCTCCAAGCCAGGCTTCAGCAATACATGAACCAAGAACTTCCAGATGTTCAAGCTGGATTTAGAAAAGGCAGAGGAACCAGAGATCAAATTGCCAATATCTGCTGGATCATTGAAAAAGCAAGCGAGTTCTAGAAAAACATCTATTTTTGCTTTATTGACTATGCCAAAGCCTTCGACTGTGTGGCTCACAATAAACTGTGGAAAATTCTGAAAGAGATGGGAATACCAGACCACCTCACCTGCCTCTTGAGAAACCTGTATGCAGGTCAGGAAACAACAGTTAGAACTGGACATGGAATAACAGACTTGTTCCAAATAGGAAAAGGAGTATGTCAAGGCTGTATATTGTCACCCTGCTTATTTAACTTATATGCAAAGTACATCATGAAAAATGCTGGGCTGGAAGAAGCACAAGCTGGAATCAAGATTGTTGGGAGAAATATCAGTAACTTCAGATATGCAGATGACACCACCCTTATGGCAGAAAGAGAAGAGGAACTAAAAAGTCTCTTTACGAAAGTGAAAGAGGAGAGTGAAAAAGTTGGCTTAAAACTTAACACTCAGAAAACTAAGATCATGGCATCTGGTCCCATCACCTCATGGGAAATAGATGGGGAAACAGTGGAAACAGTGTCAGAACTTTATTTTTTTGGGCTCCAAAATCACTGCAGATGGTGATTGCAGTCATGAAATTAAAAGATGCTTACTCCTTGGAATGAAAGTTATGACCAACCTAGATAGCATATTAAAAAGCAGAGACATTACTTTGCCAACAAAGGTCCATCTGGTCAAGGCTATGGTTTTTCCAGTGGTCATGTATGGATGTGAGAGTTGGACTGTGAAGAAAGCTGAGTGCCGAAAAATTGATGCTTTTGAACTGTGGTGTTGGAGAAGACTCTTGAGAGTCCCTTGGACTGCAAGGAGATCCAACCAGTCCATCCTGAAGGAGATAAGTCCTGGGTGTTCATTGGAAGGACTGATGCTGAAGCTGAAACTCCAATACTTTAGCCACCTCATGCAAAGAGTTGACTCGTTGGAAAAGATCCTGATGCTGGGAGGGATTGGGGGCAGGAGGAGAAGGGGATGACAGAGGATGAGATGGCTGGATGGCATCACCAACTCGATGGGCATGAGTTTGAGTAAACTCCGGGAGTTTGTGATGGACACGGAGGCCTGGCGTGCTGCGATTCATGGGGTCACAAAGAGTCAGACACGACTGAGTAACTGAACTGATGGTGACCTGGGCGAGCTCAGAAGGAAGGGACCAGTGGGTTGTACGCTAGGTTAAAGGGAGAAAAGGGGCTGCTGGGAATGATTAATTTCCTACATAGTGAAGTCCTCTCAGAAATAGTAGTTGAGATCATAGACTGTGCAACCAAACTATCTGGTCTTATATTCTGAACTACCTCTTCATGCCTTAGTTCACTTGTTAAAGCGGGCATAAGTACAATACACATAAAGACAGAGATAGCAGTAGTAAAGAATTTGGAAAAATAACTGGCACATAGTAAGAACTCAATGGATGTTATTAGCTATTTATTAGAAACCTTAACGTTTGCCTGGAAGAACAGAGGAGATCAAGTCTAATAACTTTCCCATTCTCTTTTCCTAGGTGGAAAGCTGGCCCAGGCAGGGGCTAAGTTCCCACTGTTGATAAGGCCAATATGGGAAGATCAATTTTACTCCCTTCTTCAGTTCTCAACTCAGCTCCACGAAATACTCCTCCCCTGGATGACAACTGTCATTTATATAGCATTGATTATTGTGTCCATCACTGTACCAAGTGTGTGCATTTCCCCTTTAATCCTCACAGCAATCATATATATCAGGAACCATTTATATACTCAGGTGAGGAAACAAAAGCTGATTGTGTCTTGTCCCAAAACACAACCAAACTAGGAGAGTCAGGTTTCAAATCCAGCCAATCTGTCTTTAATACCAGTCTCCAAACTACTACTTGGGGTAGTAGGCTGAACGCAATACATCCTTGAGCTTGGCCCTGCCCACCTCCAAGCTTGTTGCGGACAAAGAATGCACTTGGGGTGACGGCAGGACTACTCAGACGCGCTCCCCGCCTTCCCTTGGGAAGAGGAGGAAGATGCAGATTATCCTAGGGCGCTGGTTTGGAAGTCTGGAGTTTAAATCCAGTCCCAGCCCGTTGACTTGAGCGCTCTCCGGGGCCTCCAGCGATCCCCGGAAGGAGGTTACCAGTTCAGGCTGTTGCGCGTTCACGTCTTCCTTCGGATGCGGAACCTTTGACACCACCGCTTCGTGGAGCAGACGGCGTAGACGGAGCAACGGACCCAACGGACCAAGGGGCGGGGCGGACGGGCTTAGGCGGGGCGGGAGGCGGAGGCGCCGCGTAGGCCAGGGAGGCCGGGCTGGCCCGGCTTGGGAGCTCTGTCCCCATGTGCCGCCGCCTCCTCCAACGATGTTCCCCTCCCGGAGGAAAGCGGCGCAACTGCCCTGGGAGGACGGCAGGTGAGCTCGGCGGCTGGCCCGGTCCCCGTCCTCCCGGGTGCCAGTTCTTTCCGGGCCACCGCGAGGAATCTAGGAGCCCGAGGCCGTTGTGACTCCGTCTCTGCGGGGCTCTCTGAGGGTCTGTGTTTCTCCTTGGGGGTCTCTCTCTGTATTTGGGTTTCTGTTTCTCTCTGCGTCTCTGGTTCTAACAGCCTCCGTCACTCAGCAGGTCTGTATTTCTTCTTTGATTTCCCTTTGTGAGTTTCTGTCCCTCTGTGCGAGTCTCTGTCGTTATGAGTCTCTGTGTTTTTCCACTGACTTCAGTTTTTATGCGGGTCTTAGAGTCCGTTGACCTTTCTCAGTTTATCTCTTTGTCTGTCCCTGGTTTCAGAAGGTCTGTATTTCGTTTCTCTGGCCTCTGCCTCTCCCATCACATGCCTGTAGACTCAGACCCTACACTTGTGCTTCCCCATTCTTTGCTGACCCCCAGAAGAATACACCAGACAGAAGCTCTGTGCTCTGCCTTGCTGCCCACTGCCTGACTGGGACTGAGTTCTCCTCAGACTTAGCATTAGTTCATTTCCGGTGCAGCTGTACTTGAATGTGGCCTGCCCCGTGTGTTAGGTGTGGGGTTGACCCAGACCTTAGTTAGTGGTTGTCACTAAAGCAGAATGGGGATGAGCTGTTTGGTCATTAAGATTGGAAGGGACACCCAGACTTCAATCTTGAGGTGTACCCTCAAGTCTTCTCAGAACACATGGTAGTGGCTCTACACCTGGTGAATGACACCTCTTTCCATGTATGTCTGTTAAGTTTGCCCAAAGGTGCCCAAAGACTTTGGAATATAGCGAGCACAACTCTTTTATCTTTGGGAATTTTTCAGACTTGGTGTTGAAGTAAGAAGACAGGTATATAGTAGAAAGCCTAGACTGTGGATTTAGGCCTGGACCGGAATCCTCTTTAATAGCCTTGTGACCAGAGCCAACTTAATCTTCCTCCTCAGCTCTTCCATCTCTGAAACAGGGATCATCATATCTATTCTGCAGGTCTATATGAAGATATAAAGGAGATCACACATATATAAAAGTCTTGACACTATGCTTAGCACAGAGAAGGTGCCGGTTATCTTCCAGTTACTTTTGCAGTTTGGAGGTGCTGTAATCAGAGCAGCTGAGTATTCAAACCTGTCACTAAGGTTTGTGTGAGGGAAGAAAGGAAAGGTTATGGAGAATTTCCATTTCCTAATTTCTTCCTAAGAATTTTAGGAAGACAGCCATATTCCACAAAACTTTACTGGTATCACTTCATGCTTTTGACACAGGGGTACAAATATCCATGCAACAGATGCATACTGAGGTAGCAGTTAAGAGTGTTGGCTCTGGAAGCAGCCTGTCTGGGTTTGAATCACCCTCTTATTAGCCTTGGACACATATTGATGAAGGAAACAAAACCTCATCTGCTCTGCCTCCCCACCGCCAGAAACAGGGTGCCCTGGGCCTGGTAGCTGCTGAGACTGCAGATCTGGAACTTGCCACCAGGTGTCACCAGGAGCAATTGTCAGTGTTCACTGTCCTGAGGAATTGGGATTCAGTTCTAAATTCAGTTGTTCAGTGATTTGGGCCCTTGCAGCACCGGAAGAGAGTGTCTGTGGGAATGTGATCCTAGTAGGAAGGGAAAGCTGGACCGAGGGGACAGAAGGTGAAAGTGCATGGAGTGCCCAATCCATGCCACACCCCTGGATAATGGTCACTGCTTCTTCTCCAGAAGGTGGGATATTTCCTCATGTCCATCTCCCCAGTCTCTACCCCGCCCTCAGCAAGAGCCCAGAGGGAGAATCTATAGAGGTTCCAGCCTTCCCAGGCCAATAGCAGGATTGGCCTCTGCTCCTCCCCAGCGGAAACCCCCACCGCATGACAATGGGGGGTAAGTCAGAAGTCCTGCAAGGTTGTCTTGCCACACTCCCTCTCTGCTGTGTGTGGAACATGGGCCTGGATTCAGGGTTGCTTCCAGTTGGCAGTTGTGCCTCTGGAGAGAGACGGGAGTTGGTCTGGCTTTAGTGTGTGACAAGCATGCCCTGAATGCTTGATCCCTTCCTGTAACTCACTTAGCAAGCCCTCTGCTGTATGACTTGTGCTAAGTACACAGCTGTGAATCTGATGACCTGTGAAGAAGACCGGCAGGGACACAGGTGATTTCAGAACTGTTAATTGCTTCAAGGAGGGCAGTACCAGGTACTCCAGGAACACAGAGGAGGGAGTATGTATCTCAGTCTGTTGTGTATGTGGGAGTAGGGGGGACAGTGCTGGCCATGGCTTTGGAGTTTGGCCTTGAAGGATCAATGGGGTGCTTCCAGGCAGATGAAATAAGGAAAGCCATTTTAGGCAGAAGCAGCAGACTCTGTGAGGGCTAGAGCAGAAAGGAATACGGTGAGTGGAGAAACTGAATTGCTCAGTGTGTAGCGCTGGGTGAGTGGCAGGGAGCAGCTGGAGATGGGGCCAGGTTACAGAGGGATTTGACTGTCAGATCACAGAGTTTGCCCATTATCTTGTAAGCAGGAAGATCATCCATGAGATTTGAAGGGGTCTGAACAGGGCAAGGACCAGGTGAGACTTGAACTAAAAGATAGGCAGTGTGTGAGGGAAGAACGAAGGGTACTTAGGAGGTAGAATCTATATGCTCTGGTAGCTAATTGATAATTCTCAGAGGTTATAAAGTGCTGATTATTTCAGAAGACAGGAAGCTGCAATTTTCTTGGATTCCTTAGTTCCTTCACTGCCCCCAGGAACTTCCAGAGAGAGGAGCAAAGAAACCAGATGAATTCCATCCATTTCTTTGTTTTTCCCAGCACTACCCAGAGTGTAAGACATTCTGCTGGTCTTCCAGCTTCTGAAATGTGCCTGGGTGCTGTTCCTGGCCCTCAGTTTTCTTTCCCTCTTCTGTTTCTCATCTTTTGTCACATGAGCTGCCCTGGACTGAAGCTTTGAGATGCATTCTGTGAACTGCCTTTGTTGGTTTGGGCCTCACGTTGGTTTGGGGGAAGACTCTGTTCTTCCTAGAGTAAACAGTGGTCTTTTCACTGACAGCTTCTCTCTTTGGGGGAGCTTTCTGGTCTGAGAAGTAGGATGAAGCCAAGCTTTCTGATGAGGGTGAACCTGCAGGGGAACAGGTAGAAGGCAGTGCGTAGGGTCTCTAAGGTGGGCTTCCTCCTTCGGCTCTGGACATGAAATGTTGTCTTGGGGAGGAGCAAGTGCAAGGGACAAGGAGTCTCTTCCCTGTCCTCGAGCAGCTCTTGATCTGATCTGGACTCAGGCACAAAAAGTAAGAGAGCATTAGGCGGGTGGGGCAGCTCCGAGACCTGTGAGTGTTTGGAGGGCTTCCTGGAGGTGGGGTGACTCAGGCTGAACATAGAGCTGTAAGCAGGATTCTGATGCATGGTAGCAGCACAAACAAAAGCACTAAAGTTGCTTCTGCACTAATTCCCAAGCGCTTGGGGCCGACCAGTCACATGTGCCTTACTTGTGGGAAGCCAAAGAAGGGTGTGTTACAGGACCTTGGCTCACCTTGCCCTTCTGACCCGCTCCTTGTTCTTGTCCCAGGTCCAGGTTGATTCCCAGTGGCCTCCCCCGGAAGTGTTCCGTCTTCCACCTCTTTGTTGGCTGTCTCTTACTGGGCTTCCTCTCCCTGCTCTGGCTGCAGCTCAGCTGCTCTGGGGACGTAGCCTGGGCAGCCAGGGGACAAGGACAGGAGGCCCCAGGCCCATCCCGGGCCTGCCCGCCAGAGCCACCTCGCGAGCACTGGGAAGAGGATGAGTCGTGGGGCCCCCACCGCCTGGCAGTGCTGGTGCCCTTTCGAGAGCGCTTCGAGGAGCTCCTGGTCTTTGTGCCCCACATGCACCACTTCCTGAGCAAAAAGAAGATCCAGCACCACATCTACGTGCTCAACCAGGTGGATCATTTCAGGTAGGGACTACCTCCAGGCTGGCACCGCTCACCTGGGCCTCACCTCGCCCTGGTCTCCCTTGCCTGCTCCCTTTCCCGACAGCAGTCCAGTACCAGGTAGCCCAGGCCCATGAAAGGCCACCTGGGCAGCAGTGGAAGGGTGGGAGGTGCTCGACCCCTCTCACTGGGTATGATGGGAATTTGGGGGGAGAGTTTGGGACTGGGGAGGCACTGGATCTGGTTTCCATTTTACAAGGTCCCTGTGGCTGCTATTTGTGTACTAGGCCATACCAGGACAAGAAGCGGAGCGAGAGACCTGTTGGGCAGGCGTTGCCTTCACTGCCATTGTGGCAGACACTGTGGAGAGAAGCAATGTGGAGGAAGTGCAGACAGGGCTTGCTGGTGGATTAGCTGCAGGGATTAGGGAAAGAGAAGGGTCAAGGGCATGGCTTTAAGGTTGTTCAAAATCTGGCATTAACTTAAAATCCTTGTCCTCACCAAAAACTGCTCCCCTCCATGATCACAATCCATGCATTGCACAGCCCACCCCCACCTCCTTTTCCTCCAGCTCGCTCCCACTGGGAAACACACTCCAGCAGTTCTTGGAACTCGCCAAGTCCTTTAGTCCACGATCCTCCTAGTGTTCTCTGCCTTCCTCCTGACCTGACCTCTACTTTCTCCTGACCTGACTTGACTACAGCTGAATCCCTGATTTCCCACCCACCCCTGACCTGCTTCTCCTGCCCTCTTCCTCATTTTAGGAGATGGAAACTCCACACTCCCAGCTGCTCAGGCCAGAAGGTGCTGGCTCCACTCCTGCTCCCTCACACAACACGTCTAGTCCACCAGCATAGTGTGGCTAGCATCTGCCCTCCTGTCATCCCCACTGCTACCTGAGTTAAGGCATCATCAGTTCATGCCTAAATTACTAGAGCAGCCTCTTAACCTGTCTCCTTGCTTCCACCCCTCACCTTCCAGGCTCTTCTCATCATACCAGCTAGAGTGATCCTGTTAAACACTGAGCCACTGCACATGATGCCTTCACTCTTAGCCCTTCAGTGGTTCACCATCTCATCCAGGGTCAAAGCCCATGTCCTTCAGAGACCTGTCACCCTCTGACCTCATTCCCTAAAACCTCGCTCACTCTGCTTGACCACTTTGCTGACTGCTCCAGCCTCCAGCCTTGGGAGTCATTTTCCCCTCTGCTCAGAGCCCCATTCCCCTGATTTCCACAGGGCTCATTCCCTCAGGCCTTCAGGCTTCTGCTCACATATCACTCTGTTACACTGGCTCTCCCTGACCACCTCTTCTAAAAGGACAGCCCCTGCCTGCCAGCGTGTTTTATTCTTCTCACATTGCTTTACTGTTCTTCTCAACATTTACCAGTCACTGGCTTGTTGCATGTTTACTCAAGTTTTCTTTTTTGTCTTATTAGAATGTCAGCGCCTTGAGGGCAGGGCTTTGATTTCTCACGTGCTCTGAACAGTTTCTGGGACATAGTAGGTGCTCAGCAAACATTCGTTAGATGAGTGGAGAGGCAGCTGGGCAGCCCTGTAGTGAAGTTGGCCTCGGGCTGGAGGGCAGCATGAGTACTGGCTCTCACGTAGGAGCTGGGGGAGAGCAAGCTCACTGCCCCCATGCCCAGCTTTGGCGCCCTGCACAGGTTCAACCGGGCAGCACTCATCAACGCGGGCTTCCTGGAAAGCGGCAACAGCACAGACTACATTGCCATGCACGACGTGGACCTGCTCCCTCTCAATGAGGAACTGGACTATGGCTTCCCAGAGGCTGGGCCCTTCCACGTGGCCTCCCCGGAGCTCCACCCACTCTACCACTACAAGACCTACGTTGGTGGCATCCTGCTGCTTTCTAAGCAGCACTACCAGCTGGTGAGGCCTGGCATGCCTGCTCTGCTCAGAGTCAGGCAACACCTACTTGAATGGGGGCTTTGGCCAGAGGAGTGGCAGTTCTGGGGCCTAGTAGATGGAGGATCTTTCCTAGGGCCAGCAGGGGAGCCCAGGGCTAGCCAGAGGCATGAGAGAGGAGCAGGACCAAGCAAGCCAGTTAGGGAGGGTTTCTGCCTCAGTAACAGAACCCCTCCATGTGAACTAGCTTCAGAATTCCTGTTCTTTGCTTCTCAAAATGGAAGAGTCTGCTCAGCCTATCAGACAGGACACCATTTCACTTTCCATCTCTCAGCTCTGCCTTCTCTAGACTGGATTTACTTTCAGACATTTGGGATGCAATGTAGTGGTTGTAGCTGCAACCTGCATCTGTCCAGTGGAAAATGGAGCTCCCTTTTCCAGCAGCCCAGACAGCAGTCCCACAGCTGCTCCACGCTGGCTCTTGATTGGCCTGCCTTGAGTCATGGCTAATCCCTGAATCCATCACTGTGGTAGGGGTGGGAGTGGGATGGTGGGGTGGGAAGAACTGAGTGGCTTAGACCCCCATCTCTTGCTCCTCTGTTCAGTCTGTGGCTGAAGCCAGCTTAATGTGAGTGAAGCCTGAAGTCATGGCAAAAATAAATGTCTGCCATCTGACTTCAGACACCGTCTCTCTCTTCCATACAGAGGAAGAGACAAGGGCAGAGAGGCCCTCAGGAGAAATGGGAGTAGGGGACCAGGCAGAAATAGAGCAGGAGCTGGCACTGTGCCCATCATCAGCTCTTCAGAGGTCCCCTCCCAGCAGTCAGACATTTTTGAGAGACTGTCCATCTCACACAAATCCAAGGCCCCATTAGAACAGGCAAAGGAACTGGGGTATGCTGACAGTTCCCCACTGGTACCACAGAGGTTGTAAGAACCAAAAGCATCTCAGTGTCCATTCATAGCTTTGGGGGAGGAGGAGGAAAGGGGGCCTGTCCTGGCGCCACTTGGACTTGGGACCCCCAAGTAGAAGACCAAAGAGCATCCCTGGGAGGATTGGGCAAGTGACACTGCCTGTCTTTGCGTCAGTGCAACGGGATGTCCAACCGCTTCTGGGGCTGGGGCCGAGAAGACGACGAGTTCTACCGGCGCATCAAAGGAGCTGGGCTCCAGGTAATGCCCCCCCCACCCCCCAACCGCCACTTCCTCGGCCATCATGGCAGTCTTGAGGTTCCTCTCTGCCCTCAGATGAAGTTCCTGGGGCTGGGAGATGGCACCCCTGGTTCCAATCCCAGCCCTGCCCCCGACTAGTACACCTCTCAAAGAATGGAAATACAGGCCCCTGCCTATGGGCTGTCGCCTCGTGGTGAGGGCCAGGGCTCCAGGAGAGGCAGCCTGATCCAGCTTCCTTTGGCCTCCTTAGCTTTTCCGCCCTTCGGGTATCACAACTGGGTACAAGACATTCCGCCACCTGCACGACCCAGCCTGGAGGAAGAGAGACCAGAAGCGCATTGCGGCTCAAAAACAGGTGATGGCTGATCTCTTGATCAGAGTGGACAGGTGCTGGTCGGTCCCTTGATCAGGGGTGGACAGGTGCTGGCCAGTCCCTTGGTCAGGGTAGGTATGTGGTATATAGGGAACCAGCGGGCCCAGGCTTTTCAGCAAGTTCTCATTGTACCCACATGGTCGCATCCTCCCCTGCTTGGCCCAGGTCACTGTGGGCATGCTGCTCGGGCACAGGGCCCTCTTCTGGTGGCTGCCATGGCCCCTGGGCCTTGTGGGTCAGCCAAGACATCAGAGGCCACTTAGGCTATGTGTGTCAGGTGAGGTGGGGACAAGACTCAGCTGAAGGTGCCAGAATCCCAGGCAGACCTGGGACACAGGAGTCAGCATCTCTCCAATAGCCTCTTCTCTCAGAGCCAGATTAGTTGAACTAGAAAACCCCTGCTCTCCTGCTGATGGGGATGTGGAGCCATGGGCAGTAGACTTTCTGTCTCTCAGCTTCCCTTTCCCCTCTGTGGGGATCATAGGACCTCTGATGACAAGATCATGGAGGATCAGTGGACAGTTGGCACCTACAAAACCCTGAGTACATGCTCTCTCCCCCCTTCCTTCTTAGGAGCAGTTCAAGGTGGACCGGGAGGGAGGCCTGAGCACTGTGAAGTACCGCGTGGATTCCCGTACAGCCCTGTCTGTGGGCGGGGCCCCCTGCACTGTGCTCAACATCCTGTTGGACTGTGACAAGGCTGCCACTCCATGGTGCACGTTCAGCTGAGTTGGCTGGACAGTAAGGAGGCTTGTGCCTGTAGGCCACACTGCTACTCAAGCCCAGGACAAAGCCTTGGCCCAGGCCCAGCTCCAGTAGGACATGGAGTGGCCTGAAGCAGTGGCCAGCCAGCCACATGTTTGCAGCAACCTGGCTCCCAAAGGCAGGCTTGAGCCAGGACAGGACACACACAGGGTGCCTGGGATGCTACCAGCAATAAACAGTGATGGAGAGAGGCTGGGACATGGCTCCCAACTGGGACTCTCCACCCTGCCTTACTGCTTGCCCTACCCTGCCCTACCCTCTTTTGTGTGCTGAGATCTGCAAGTTCCTCCCTTTGGACTGCCTCATGCAGAGATACAGTTTAGAAGCCAGGCCACTGATGTGGGTGGCCAGGGCCATCAGGAGGGTTAAAACTGCAGAGACCAGTGTGCAAGCCCTACAGAGGGAGCAGCTGAGACCAGCTCTGGCTGGTTGTCACCATGCAGGAGTGTGGGCCTAGTGTTGCCAGATCTTCTGATTTTTCAAAAGAAACTAGAATTCTGGATTCTTGAGTGAAATTGGTTAATTTTTTTTAATTGGTTAATTTTTAAATGATAGCAACTAGTTCAAACTTTTAAAAAGTATGGCAGGCCAAACTTGTGGCTGAGGGGGAAGGGAATGGGGCAAAAGAAGACATTTTTCTTAGTTAAAGGCTGGAAAGGAGCTGGGGCCGGGCTGAGGACGATGAGGCCAGAGGATGCTCAGGTGGGAGAGAGGCCCAAGGCACAAGGTCCCTGTTCCCTCCCTCAGCCCAAGGGTGCTTCATCCTGTCTCACGAAAATGGACAGAAGTAGATCACAAGACTGGACTGAGGGTAGTCAGGCTACATTGTAGAGACTCACTCGGTCATGGCTTGGGAAGGGAGGACCATGTTCCTGAGGCGGGAGGAAGATGAGAAGTAGGAGAATCCCTGGAGTGTTCCCACAATGTGAGGAGAGATTAGTGATGGTCATCAAAAGCAACAGAGAGGGAGGGAGGGGAGCCAAGGGAGATGGTGGAACCATCTGGAGGGAAGCCCAGGGCCAATGAGAGGAAAATGAGGGACCCTGAAAGGTAAATGACTCCTTCAAGGCATTTGACTGCAAAAGATTTGGGGCAGAAGTTGGAAGAGACTGGGACCAGTTAAGGTTAGTTTGTTTAACAATAAACAGGACACCTGAAGTGCAAGAGGAAAGATTGAGGTCTCCAAATACAGGAGGGTAGATTCAGCATCTCTGCTCCAAAAAGGCTCCTCCTCCAAGGGTGATCTTGGGGTTATTTTGTGCAGTTGTGTGGGTTGTGCACTGTACAACCTGAGCATGAACCAAGAGATTTAAGCAAGAGGAGTGGAGGGAATGAAGAACTTCAGGTTCCATGTAACCATTGAGACTTAAAAGAGAGGGTCCTTGGGATTCTAAATTGACCTCAGCCAGCAATTCAGCTTTACTTACTACGGTGAAGGGCAAACAGACCTTGATGACAGCGCAAGGGTAGTCAAGGGACTTTCTCGACGGCCAGGGGAGGGGAATGGTGCACTTTCTGTATGCTGGTACCCTGGACAACCGTGACTATGTCATCTTGGACTTGTGTAACACGAAGCCTTTTGGAGTTGGTGGGAGTAGGTGTGACAGTGCCTCCAGCTCTGTACTCACCTGGCAGGTAAGACAAAAAAAGATAGGGGACTCCTTCCTTTCCACCTGCCCTGACAGGAAGGATGAGCAGGAGGAAAGCAGGATCAGCCAGCTCAGCCTGGGCTGGGTGCATCTCTAACCCTGCACTCCCACACTCATGACCACCACTACCACCTCCATGATCCAGACACCATAAGGCACCCCGGGCCAGGCCTGATGCAGCTCTAATCTTCAGCCCTCACCCTCACTCCCCATCCTGGGCCTCCCCTAAACCTTTCTGGGAGAGTGGGAGAAGGCTAAGAGGTGATCAGTAATGAGAAGAAGTAGAGAGCTCTTCTGCATCCTCAGCACCTTGGCAGCTCCTCTCTCGAGTGGAACAGATGGCCCAGTCTTGCTGGTCAGTATGTGGATGATGTGAACCCAGGATATAGGAGCACCTGGCATGTGCTTTGCCACTGTGATTCTAATGATGACAGCTGGCACTTATTGAGCATTCTCATATACAAATTTTAGTACGCTGAGTTATTTCACATAGGTCTTCACCTAGGAGCTAGGCCCTGTTTTGTTAACTTGTTTTATAGATGAGGACGGTGGAACACAGAGAGGTAAGAAACTTGCCCAGGGTCGCAAGGCTGGTAAGTAGTGGAGCTTGGGATTCGGATCCCTGGAACCTGTCTTCTGAGCAGGAAAAAAATGAGAAAATCTAGGTAATTTTGGTTTGGCAGTGAATTTTTAGATAAAATACCAAAAATATGATCCATGAAAGAAATAGTGGATGTTAAACTTCTATTAAAACTTGAAACTTCTGCTCTGTGAAAGCAACTGTTAAGAGAATGAAAATACAAGCCATAAACTAGAAAAAAAAGTTGTAAAACATCTGATAGAGGACTTGTACCCAAAATATACAATGAGTTTTAAAATTCAACAGTAAGATAAAAACCCAAGTGAAAAACACAAAAGAGCTGAACAGACACTTTATCGACAAAGATATACAATGGAAAATAAGCATATGAAAAGCTGCTCAACATAATTTGTCAGTAGGGAATTGCAAATTTAAAACAACAATGAAAAATTTAAAAATGAGACATTACCTGTTAGAATGCCTAAAACCCAAAAAACTGACTATCAAATGCTGGTGAGGATGTGGAGCAATGGGAAACATTCTCACTGTTGCAGGTGAGAATGCAAAATGATAAACTCACTCTGGAAGATGGTATGGTAGCTTCATACAAAGCTGAGCATAATCTTACCATATGATTCAGTGAGCTCACTGCGAGGTACTCTCTGAACTGACTGAAAAGTTGTGTCCTCACAAAAACCTACATGTGAATGCTTTATGGCAGATTTATTTGTAATCACTAAGTACAAAAAGTGACCAAGATTTCCTTCAATATGTAAATGGATAAAAAAAACTAGTGGCACATTTATACAATGGAGTATTATGCAGCACTGAAAAGAAATGAGCTACCAAGTCACAAAAAGACACGGAAGAACCATAAATGTGGCTGAGTGAAAGAAACCAGTCTAGAAAAGGTATATAGAGAATTCCCTGGTGGTCCAGAGGTTAGGACTCTGGGCTTCCACTGCAGGGGGCATAGATATGATCTCCGATTGGGGAACTAAGATCCTACAAGCCCTTTTGTGGTGCAATAAAAAAAAAAAAGTGAGCCTTAATGTGTGCAAATTTTTAAAAAATTAGGAGGTAAGAGGATTGCAGGAAGGAATGCACACTATGGCAAGAAAACCCAACTGCCTTACATTACAAAACAGCCTCACTGAAGAGGATAGGGGAGAGGGTGCTGACCTGAGGAACACTGGAAATATGCGATCTGTAAGACTAAAGTCAAGAAGTGCATGTGTGCAGGATCCTCTGGTGGTTTCCCACAGGGATATGGTATGCTTGCTATGTCGCTTCAGTCCTGTCTTGACTCTTTGTGATCCTATGGACTGTGGCCCACCAGGCTCCTCTGTCCATGGGATTCTCCAGGCAAGAATACTGGAGAGTGGGTTGCCATGCCTTCCTCCAGGGACTCTTCCCAACTCAGGGATCAAATCTGTATCTCTTATGTCTCCTGCATTGTTGGGTGGGTTCTTTACCACTAGTGCCACCTGAGCAGCCCTGGGGGTTTGGGGTATGGTATAACAATTCTGCAAATTAGGGTTGAAGAATTAAGTAAATGGATGGTGGGAGCCAGTTTTCTTACTATGGAGTAGGAAGTTTTTAGCAAAGAGCAGAATGCTAGAATGATTCATGTGATGATGGATTAGAGTTGAATAAATCAGTATGAATTTGCATTAAACTTAATTATACATAGAAATATTCATAGATGTCTGTGTATACACAGGTATCACACACGTAAATTTCCTTGTTCTGTCAGCTGAGAGGACCTGGAAGCAATGGCACTCCAGTAGAAATGAGCACACAACTAGTGCTCACATCATGGTTTCATTCTCCAGTGAAAAGGAACTACGACTGCTCGAATAAATGGTTGAGTCAAAGGCTAAGGTGGAAAACCTACAAGATGAGCCTGGAGCAGCTTTTAGTTCCAGAGAGTAAGGAAATGTTTTTTTAAAATTGATGGGGGTGAGTGGTTGCTTCCCTGGTGATCCATGGTTAAAATTTCACCTTCCAATGGAGGGGGTGCAGGTTCAATCCCTCATCAGGGAGCTAAGAACCCACATGCTTCATGGAGAAAAGACCAAAACACAAAACAGAAGCAATATTGTAACAAATTCAATAAAGACTTCATAAATGGTCCACATGAAAATTCTAAAATAAAATTTTTTTTTTTTTAAATTCAGGGTATTGTCAAAGGAACACAGGAGCCAACTTAGAGGGCTCTCAATGGCACAAACTGGGACAACTGAAGCCAAAAAAAAAAAAAAAGGAATATGGGCTTATGACCCAATGTATAAAATAAATATACCGATAAATGGGAGAAGAGAGAAGCATCTTATGCAGAATTATTCCAGATAGTTTATGTAATGTTCTGCCCTCAAGGAAAGGGAGCATTCTTTAAGCTGTTGACTGCTGATAGTGACTTCCTTCCAAAGAGTCCAGTGTGGAAATGTGTGTGTGGGGGAGAATAACTCTAGAATGGAAAAACATAAACACTACCCCAGCCAGGTGATCAAGGACACCACTGAGAGTGATAAGTGATCTTGATCACTTATCAAGTATTACCCTTGATATACTGTAAGGAAAGTGATACTTTATGTCAGTGTCTTCCTTCCCCAAATCCATAATCTGAGTCTAGTCATAAGAAATTCAACGGGACTTCCCTGGTGGTCCAGTAGTTGGAAACCTGCCTGCCAATGCAGGGCACACAGGTTTGGTCCCTGGTCCAGTAAGATTCCACATGCCACAGAGCAACTAGGCCCATGTGGCACAGTTGCTGAAACCCAATCACTCTAGAACCTGTGTTCTTTAACAAGAGAAGCCACCACAATGAGAAGCCCGTACACCACAACTAGAGAGTAGCCCTGAGCTTGCTGCAACTAGAGAAAGCCCACAAAAAGCAGAAAAGACCCAGCACAGCCAAAAAGAAAGTAAGAGAGAGAGGAAGAGAGAAGTAACCAACACATAGCTGATATATTTTATAAAAAAATTTTTAAAATAGCAAATTCCAATAGAGTGTATCTTAGAAAACACTTGTTGAGAAAACACTTCTCAAATTTGTGAGGTCATCACATACAAGAAAAGTTGGAGAAACTGTCACAACCAAGGGGAGCCTAAGAAACATGACTATAAATGTAATATGGTATCTTCAGTGAGGTCTTGGAACAGAAAGAGGACATTAGGTAAAAACAGAAATCTGAATAAAATAGTTTTATTTTAGTTAAAAATAATGTATTAGTATTGGTTCAGGAATTGCAGTGTAATAAACATACCATACTAATCGAAGTTGTTGATAATAGGTGCAGGTAGATGGGCATGCAATAATATCTTTGCAATTTTTCTGTAAATCTAAAAATGTTCTTTAAAACAGTCTTTTTTCAAAAAAGGGGAAACAAAGCTATGTGGGGGGAGCCAAGAGGAGGCAGCTTTTGAAAAGCTGAAGTCTAAGTAGCCCTGGTTCATGGAAGTTGAGCAAGGGTAGTTTCGAAGGCACATGCTTTCCTCCTACTGGTTTCCTCTACTTGCCTGTCTAGTCCTCAGTTCCAGCCCAGGTTCTCCTGTGACTCTAGAGTTCAAACAGAGAAGCCTCAGGTTGGGGCGGGAGATGTTTGGCATCTAAAGACATTTTTGGTTGTCACAACTGAGATGATAACAGGCATATAGTTGGTAAGAGGCCATCAATGTTGTCCAGTATCCTACAGGACAGCCCCACCCCTAACAAATAATTACCCAGCCTCAAGTTCTATAAGAGATGGGAGTACCAGACCAGCTTACCTGTCTTCTGAGAAACCTGTTTGCAGGACAAAAAGCAACAGTTAGAACTGGACATGGAACAATGGACTGCTTCAAAATTGGAAAAGGAGTATGTCAAGGCTGTATATTGTCACCTTGCTTATTTAATTTATATACAGAGTACATCATGTGAAATGCTGGGCTGGATGAATCCCAAATTGTAATCAAGCTTGCCAAGAGAAATAACAACCTCAGATATCCAGATGATACCACCGTAATGGCAGAAAGTGAAGAGGAACTAAAGAGTCTTGATGAAAGTGAAAGAGGAGAGTGAAAAAGCTGGCTTAAAACTCAACATTCAAAAAACGAACATCCCATCACTTCATGGCAAATAGATGAGGGAACAATGGAAACAGTGACAGATTTTATTTTCTTGAGCTCCAAAATCACTGCAAATGGTGACTGCCGCCGTGAAATTAAAAGACGCTTGCTCCTTGGAAGAAATGCCATGAGAAACCTAGACAGCATATTAAAAATAAGAGACATCACTTTGCCAACAGAGGTCCATCTAGTCAAAGTTATGGTTTTTCCAGTAGTCCTGTATGGATGCTGGGCTTCCTCAGTGCAGGTACTTCCAAATCAGAGGGGTCCTCCCTGTCCTGAGGGTAGAAGGGACAGCGGCTAAATCAAAAAAGAGAGACTATCATTTTTTTTCTCCATTTAAGTGCGACTATCTAATTGGATTACTCACATGGGTGAGGTTTGGTTCCAGAATTTCAGGATGAAGCACAGGAGGCTTCTAGGAATAAGCTGCAGCAGGAGAGCCCAGAAGCTTCAGACAAGACACAAAGCAAGGAGTACTGGGGGCCAGCAGAAATGGCTAACCTGTGGACACTGGCAGAGCATCCAAGGGCTACAGGACAGGACTACTCCACTTTGAGAAGAAATCTTGTTACTTTGGGTCTGGAACAGGGCCAGTACCAGTCCTGTCAGAGGTTAAGGACTCTTTAGGAAGAGCAGCCAGGCAAGTTTGAGATGGCAGAATCTCTCAGAATCCACAAACCGTAGAGATGAGATGGTGGGTCTATTCTTAAGTATTTGTTGGGTTTGTTACTTTCACTAGAGAGCCAGTTGCCAGCTGCAGGGACTCCTTGAGGCCACTTCACAAGCCCCATCACCTCAGGCCATGGCTGTGAAAGAGCAGGTCTCCTATGCACCCAGAAGGAGGTTGGAGGCTTAGCCCTGGATTGAACTGTTCTTCTGGACCTTCCCATGCTCTTCTGGGAAACTTTCTCCATCCAGCAGGCAATTCAAGTGCGTAGTGGAGTTTGATGGCAGAAGAGGAGAAGGAGCCATATGAGATACTGTGGTCAGCCCTGACCTTGGTATATCAGGTGTAATAACCAGGTGTAATGTCTGGGTTAAACCAGAGAAACAGAACTAGTAGGAGATATATTACTTACATATATGTGAAATTGACTCATGTAATTCTGGAGGCAGGCAAGTCCCAAGATCTGAAGGGTGAGTCATCAAGCTGGAGACCCAGGAGAGCTGATGATTTTATTTCATTCTGAGTTCCAAGGCCTGAGAACCAGTGAGCCAGTGTTGGAGTTCCAGTCCAAAGGCTGGCAGGCTCAAGACACAGGAAGAGCCAGTGTTTCAGTTCAAGTCTGCAGGCAGAAAAACAGGTGTCCCAATTCAAAAGCAGTCAAGCAAGAGGAATTCTCCCTTACTAGGGGGAGAACTTTCTGTTAGATTCAGGCCTTCAGCTGATTGGATGCGGCTCACCCATATTAGGGAGGGCAATCTGCTTATCAGTCTGCTGCTACTGCTGCTAAGTCACTTCAGTCATGTCCGACTCTGTGCGACCCCATAGACGGCAGCCCACCAGGCTCCTCTCTCCCTGGGATTCTCCAGGCAAGAATACTGGAGTGAGTTGCCATTTCCTTCTCCAATTCATGCATGCATGCTAAGTCGCTTCAGTCGTGTCTGACTCTGTGTGGCCCTATGGACAGCAGCCCACCAGGCTCCCCTGTCCATGGAATTCTCCAGGCAAGAATACAGGAGTAGGTTGCCATTTCCTTCTCCTGCTTGATCAGTCTACCAATATAAATATTAATCTCATCTAAAAACACTCTCACAAACACACCCAGAATGATGTTTGACCAGAATGTCTAGACTCCCTATGGCCTAGATCAGGTCAACCCATAAAATTAACTGTCACTTTGGGATTCCTGAGCTACCAGCTCTGCCAGGGAACTGGTGGATCTAGTAAGGCAAGGTGCCTTGTCCACCTCCTTGGACCTCACCCTACTCATCAGTAATCTCTCTTGCTTGAGCAGACCTGAAAGGAAATACAAAGTTTCTCTGCATTTTTGACTCTGGCAGCCATGATATTGCACTTTGCTCAAACTCCTACTATCAGAGTCCTTAACTGACTGAGGGCCCCAGCTGCCGCACTTAAAATCCATCATATGCTTTACTGAGAGCACACCTCCTGTGGGTTGCTCTAGTCCTCCACTCAGAAAGGACCCCTTTTTTTGGCACCCAAACATCTCTCTCCCTCTCACTTGTGGTCAGACTTTCGTGGAAATGTGACAACTCTACCTACCTCTTTTGGCTCCCTCCCTATTTCAGGCATTTCCCCCAATAAAATAATTGTGCAGTTAATCATCTCTTAGTGTCCACTTGTCCAAGGATCTAGACTGACACACCAGCTTCTCCCCCTTCAAAGAGGCAGCATTATCGAGAAAGAGCACACA